AAGGAAAAGAGAATGCTATAATGAGGACCCTACCAAAACAATAACAACAACAATAACAAAACTGGGTTTCTTGAGAAGTAACAGCTGACGGAACTATCCAGGTGAATAATATGGAGTCATTTTTGCATAATGATAAATAGTCCTCTCATCAGACACTGGAGTAGCAAACAGCTAGGAAGGCTCCTAGGATGTAACATGAAAGGTATACTCTTAATCCACTCTAATGTTGGACTGAAGTCCCCTTCAACATTATACCCTGAGTGCCTCACCAGTGCTGGGAGGGCCTCTCATACTCCTCAGTGGTTCTGGAGAGAATTGTTATAACATTGTATTGTAATAATTAATGTGCATAATTATTATTCTGAACCATTGAAATACTAAATTACTTCAATAGTTCTAGCCAATAAAGTGAGGAAATAAGGGTAAAATTTCTAAGTAATTTAAATTTTCAGTTTTGGCATAATTTTTGAGATATTGTTTGTGGAAAAGTCTTTCCCCTTGTCTGGAAACTACCTGTGATACCCAGGGTTAGACTTCAAAAGCAGTTGCTGTTCTACTTGCCAGTGCCTCTACTTCCCTCTTCTTTCAGATTGGTCCAGAGTGGTCACCTGACACAGGCCAAGCTGGGCCAATCAAAATCCACCTTCAGAGAATCTGAAATTTAGATGCAAGCCTGGAGATGACCTGACAGTGGACACAATGACTGCCTAGTATCAGAGAATAAGTCCATAAGGGCAGCTGGGCTGCTGGTCCTCCTTTCTGCTTGTGAGCGCTCACCAGTTATATCTACTCCGAAGTGCCAGTGATATTATGCTAACTCAGGACCTTCCTAATAAATCTCCCTTTCATGTTGAAGTTTGCCATTAACTTGTATCCTTGCAATTCCCAAAGCAGAAGAACACAGACTCCCAGTGGCAGCGATTATGGTAGGTGCTAGGTTAATGAGGACAGACATAACACAGTTTCCACCTTTGCGAGCCTCACAAAGCATCAATGGTAAATGTGTTATTACTCTTGCTGATTCGATTAGTCCATATTTAATCTATATGGTATTGGCCCACGTTTTTTTTTTCCTGCGAGGAGCTCCCCTGGTGCTGTTTGATATTGGAAATTCTGGGAAGAGAGCACATATATAAGCTATGTGTTTATGTGTCTTAAATATAGCCCTCAACTGATGCTAATAACGTCTTTTTTTTTTTTTCTCAGTTGTAGGATATCAATTAGAGACAATTTTGGAAAAAGTATTTTAGAGAAAAAAAGCTTTGAGAAAAAAAAAATACCTTGCATTTCCCAGATAATTAATGAGTAAGGAATATTTTAAATATAAAATTAATAAGGTAGGTGGAATTTTTTTCACACTTTGAAAATACATTTTGCTTTAAACATGCAAAATCTTAGCAGCTGGAAACCTGTTATGTGCTTAATTAAATAGCCCACACATGTGTTCACAATACACAGAGTGTGGCCTGTGAACGGATCCCTGGGGTGTATGGTCAGCCTTTCACTTCACTGAACTCTATCCTGGAGGTCATGGGAAAGGGGTACTTGTTTGAGTTTTCTCCTTCCCTGTTCTACATTTCCCCCACCAACTACTGGCACATAAACAAACTCATGTTCAAAAGGTGTGGATCCACTGACCTAATCCACTCCCAAGTGCCAGGCCTGTCCACACATCCTCTGGATTAGACCAGCATGTCAACTCCCCGTGACTTGCCCTAAGGGGAGCCACAGCCAGCCTCCCCGGGCCAGGTTCATCTGATTGATTTGCCTTTTGCTCTCTATTTCCCTTGGGAAAGGCGATACTCAGCACTGACTGGGGCAAAGTGAGCTGTGAAGCTGAGATGCTGATTCTTCCTCAATGAGCTGAAGTTCTCCAGATGGCAGCAAGCGCTCGTCATGCAAATTCTTGGCAGCAGGGAGCCTGTCAAGTGGCTACTGCTGCTTATTGTTACCACCACTCCCCACCCCCTCCACACAAACGCAGAAGAAATACCATCTGTCGACTGTGGGACTGAGTGGTACTTTCCAAGTCCCGTAATCAGTGCCGCTTAGCAGCCCTGCGCTGTACACGCAGCCCAAACATGAGTTGCCTCAAGATGGCATCCAGTCTGGAGAAGCCCTGAGCCAGGGAGGCCCACCCCAGCTGGCGACGCTCCTCCTGCCCTCCTCCCGGCCCTGGCCCCCAACCTAGCTCTGCGCAGGAGCAGTGTGCTAGCAGATTTCTCATAAGATATTTATGTAACAGAAATAACAAAACTGGTTTTGTTTATCCCTCAGATTCTGGGACAGGAACAAGACGAACTGATCTAGCAACATGTTTCCATCACCAGTGAGAGATGTAGGAGCAGAAGATACTGGTGAAAGAGCAACTAAAGAATAGTCTTGAAGTGGGGTAGGTAAACATTAGAATGATTTCCTGTTTGCTTCCCTTCTCTCACAGATATCAAAACTACTGATAATACACTCTTCTTTGACATAAAAGTTTTATGTACAGATGAAAGCTGTCCCTCAAAAGATCCCAAGCTCTAAAGAAAGTTCAATACCTGGTCCATCTTTGAGTCCTGCGACCTGTGCAGTCATTCAATAAGTGTGTTTTCTTTCTGTGGTTGGATTTTTTTTTTTTTGTCAGATGTATGAATGCAAATGAAAGCATAACATCAATATTATTATTGTGCTTGCATAATCATGTTTGCCATATCAGGTTTTGCATCCCTAATATCTTCTTTTTAACCCCAGAGAGGTATCAGTGAGTTGTTCATGTCCCTAAATTCAGGACATACTATATTCCTCTATCAGTGTAAATTTCCTCCTTTATATTTTTAAAACTTTTACTATTAATTTCCCATAGAAATAGACATCCATAATGTGCAATCTCACCTTTCTAACCAACCTTCTTTATATGTCCTGATGATCATTACTGAAAATTATGCTATTTGTTTTCTACTTGTGCTTTATATATATATATATATATATATAATATTGAACTGTAAATTTTATCATTCCCAACATTTTTTCACTAATATTATATTTTAGATCTGCCCCTATTGCTAATCTTCATGTGGGTTGTTATTTTCCCATAAGATAGCTCATTCTATTCATTTTTCACCCTGCCTTTGGGAGGTGGTAACTTCTTGATTGGTAAATTTGAGAATGGCTGGCATGTTATTATGCTCTGCTGCTCTGTTCTGCCAAACACCCTCACAGCTCCTGGCAGCCTACAGGAAATCCACTTTCTCTTTTGCTCAGGGGGGGAGCCTCTGCTAATACTGTTTTCCAAACACTGGCCCCCATCTCTGAGACAAAACTACATCTTCCAGTACTGTGCTATCAAAAAAGTAATATTTAGGCCTCCACCAATTTTTGCTTTTATTCCTCAATTTGTTCAAGAGCCAAGTAAGAAAGAGAATCATTCTTTACTTGGACAGAATTAGATAGAATTTATGGATTAAGTCGCACAAATCTGAAATAGATGTATGATGTTAATATTTTCCTCTTATTTAAGTCTTTTGTCTTTTCATTATGTTAATAGCGTATGGAGTGTCTGGAAGTTTTTCCTATATATAAATAAGACCAATTTTGTCTTTACCCTTCTGTTTTTTCTTTATTTCATTGTCTGGAAGTGCCAATCATGCCATAACATCAGTTTTTCCCCAACTACAAATGACTGGCTTACAAATGTCTCCATTAAGGCTGATACTTGTGTAGGTTTTTGTCACATTGTTTTATCATTCCTAATAGTTCTTGTAAATCTAAAGGAAGCAAATTATATGGTGACACTTCAAAACCATAAAATCTTACACTTTCAAGTAGACCACTGCAAAACAATAAATTCATCTCAGTATACTAGCAATCAAAGAGTGTTAAAAAACTTTCCATCATCTTGTTGAAACTCATTTTATCAAATATGAAGTCAATCATCTTTTTGAGGGTGTTTTCTAGCCATTATTTCATTTGCTTCTCACTTGAAAAAAATAAAAGGCTTCAAAACACAAGAACTTTTTGCTCTCCTCTAATCTTAAACTAAGGGAGCTCGCATACCCAACCTCAGCTTGTCTAACAGTGGAATTTCTGGTGCTAGTCCAGTGTTCCTACTATATTTTTTCTGTAACTCCTCAAAATACTGTAACATATTCAAATCTATATTCCTTAGTTTTTCTCTCTTTATCACTTTTCTTCACTTTTCCAATTAGTTAAATCTCTTATAAATTTAGTTTTGATTTAATTTTTTCCTCATACTTGGGATAATGTAGTACCAAATGGTTTTATTCTTTTCTTCAAATGGTTTCCTACATCTTCCAAAGATTTCCCAAATAAGATAATGAAAGGATATAATAAATATAGTAATTTAATATAATATAATAAATATAGTATTCAAGTTTGTAAAGTAAAGATGGTGCTGCTATTGTATTTTCTCTACCAGTTAAATACATACTTAATAAATACAAATAGAATTCAATTCAGTTCAATTCCGGTGATAGCAAGAACATAACATAGCTTATGCTGGAAAGTATATAATCTAGTGGTTCTTAAATGTCACATGCATCAAAAATCACCCGAGGGCTTATTAAAGCACAGATTTCTGGGCCTCTCCCCAGAGTGTCAGATTCAGTTGACTTGGGAAGGAGGGTAGGTAGGTATAGTGTCTGCATTTCTAACAGGTTCCAGGTGGTGTTGATGTCACTGGTCCAGCAAGTTACTTTGACAATCCATAACATAGTTAACTTTCATTTAATACTGATCTTCTCCCACGCAATTTATTTTTTTTCCAGTTCCAACATTTTGTATCTTGAGCCAATAACCACCGTATCTCTAACTCAGTATCTCAAAGGATTGTGTTAAACTATATGAAATTTTTACTAGTCATTCAAATTTGAGCTTTAAAACTGAAATTTCAGATTGCCTAACCTAATATTACACTTTGCCAAGGGAAACTTTTTTTAATATTTTTTTCCTTTTCAAACAAAATGGCTCCTGATTATAATTGTCACATAATTACTTACAGTTTATTTCTCAGTCCATAGAGTTTAGTTGGTTTCCCCAGCTTCAAATTACATCCTGCTTGATCCTATAGAGAAGGATGATAGAAGGAAAAATTTGCTTGCTTAAATTAATAGTGTGTAATTAGAAAATTCTTAAAAACCCTAATAATGTATCTAACAGAAGTGGACTATAGCTTTTAGGGTTAATTTGTTTTGGGAAAGAGGCTCCTTCTCATGTTAAAGTACCAAAGAAAAGTATCTTATGTCACATAATTTATATTAAAAATAGTTTTCTGAGTTAAATATCAAGAAATAAATAGACTAGCCTTTTTTTAAGATATATATTAGAGGTTTAAAAATCATAGCCAACAATGCATATCCAGTGCTATAGGTAATGCTAAATGAAATTTAATTTATGCAAATGTGGATATTTTTCTAAGATATTCCCTAGTTTTCACATTCTTATTCTCATCAAATACATGGTTTATACTGTACTCAGTGGCACATCAGTGTTCAATTAGGCATGTAGCTATGACAATCACACATCATAAATTGCACAGTCATCTTAATAACTTCTAGTCAATCAGACTAAACAAGTCTTTGTCAAACGCAAGTCTATTTACAGTAGGGGTATAACCAGTGCTTCCAAATCTTCATATTTAGTTGATACTATCTGCAAAATTAGACTCACAAAGAATAAATTTTATAATTGTCCAAAATGTATGTTGCCCTGTTGAATTCCTTCATAAAGATCATTTTATTAAAAACATCTTGGCATTCAAATGACCGCGTTTACCCTCATACATTTTTAAAAAGTGGGCTCAGAATATTTTGCCACTCATAACTACAACTTTTTTATCCTCTTAAGTATATAGGAAATTATATCCCTTTCTTATTTTTTTTCTTTTTCCCGAGTAATGCCAATTTGTTACAAACTAGTTAGGGTTTTTTGTTTGTATGAAATTTTACAGTTGAGCTTTGCATAATTTGATTATGATATTGGCTTCTTCTGTTAGCAACTCACTCTACAGTTCTAGTATTTGTTAGCTATGATTTGGAGATAGGGGACTTATTTAATTTACTTATAGTATAAAAATGTAGACTTTTGAAACAGATAAATGTGAATTCTAATCCTAATTATGACACTTAATTAGTTGTATGGTTTTAAGGAAGTCATTTAATCTTATGAAACCTCAGATTCTTCCATTTTTCAATATGCCTATTAAAAAAGTCTCTAAATGGGAAAAGTCAACACAGTTTCTCAAATGTAGCTGAATTACAAAAATATTGGCAGGCAAAAGTATAAATATATTACATGAAAACTTTATACTTGAAGAAAAGTTAAAAATATCAGACTAACATGCATGAAGTTGATACGGCTCTTTAGAAATTAATTCATCCTACAAATATATATTTCATGTGTCGGTCAGGTTTGGGGTCCGACTTGCCTGTGCAGATTTACATCAGAGTTCAGAGGTTTCCATGTGAGCAGTTCACAGACTGTGTACCTAAGTCAGTGTCACTGCCAGGCCTCTACCAGACACTATCACATAACCCACAAACCATTACTTTGGGAACAATCCTTAACTTCTTTTTCTCCAAGGTTATGTTCTTTATAACATAGTGCTATAAAAAAAATAGGCTGACTTTATGCTCCTGGCAGAGCAAAGCTGTATGATAATTTATCAAATCTAGAATAGTGTATATTATAAAAAAAAAAAAAACACAACACATTATTGTACATCCTTCTAAGAAAGACTAGTCAGTGATTAAATTTAACCCATCTTTTTTTCTTTTAGAATTTTAAATGTATGCATACTAAAAAAGCCCATTTAGATTTATTTGAGTTCATGAATTACTCATGCATATATAGAGAGAGGAAACCACAAGGAAAATAGATAGGTTAGGACATTTGAAATTTTTGTTTCATACATTGAGTTCAACTTTACTTAATCTTATTTCATATAAGGATTGTGTAAGAATTGCAAACATCTGTGTTATTCCACACAATAGAAGCATCTGTGCTTTCCACAGCATTGGTGATGCAGCATTTCTTACAAGAGAATTCCTTCATTGTGCCCAGAATTTACTAAGGCAGTTCTGCTAGCTCTTAAGCACATGTACTAACAACAGTATCCACAATGAGTGACCCCCACAATTATGAAATACTCAGTTTCAGACATAAAAATGTGGGGGAAAAGGCACATCTTTGAATTGATGAAATGCAGTGCTTAACTGGATGGGCTAGAGTGTGTTAAGTGGGAGCATTTCATTACATAGAAGTTGATACCAATTTTAGAGGATGAGAAGATAGTTTTTTTTTTTTTCTTTCTCTATAACTATTGTTTTGTCCATGACTTTTATAAATTCCACAAAATAAAAACCTGGGCACAGTGGCCAAGCCTAACAGAAATGCATTTTTCTCATATAACAAGGAACCCACAATGTAGAAGAGCTAGAGCAAGCATGGGGCAGCACGATGCCACCAAAGGCCCACGCTGCTGCCTCTCTGTTATGGTTTAGACTCCATTGTAATCACATGGCTGCATGATGGTGGATGGGTCATGGCCACATTCCAAAGAGGAATCATGAGGAGACAAAGGTGACAGCTGTCATGGAGGTATCAGTCCTTTATCATCAATAGATTTCTTCTTGCATCTCACTGGCAAACTTGGGGTTATATGACCAACCCTAATTTCAAAACAATCTAATGAAAACAATATTTTTTTTAACTATTTAGGCCATTGCTCCTACGATTATATTAGGATTCTCTCATCCAGGAAGAGGAAGAAGACTATTGATAGGAAACTAGCTGTATCTGCTACCCTCTCTGGTTCTAAAGCTTTAAAAGTATGAGATAGATAGTAGGCCTCCCCAGGTGGCGCAGCAGTTAAGCGCTGGGCTGCGAAGCTCTGCAGCACCGGTTCTCTCCCCGGCCACCAGGCGAGGGTCCCACATGGCGTGCAGACCTCTCCTGCCGCCCGCTGCTCCCCTCAGCAGTGTACTTCGTCACTCTGTCTGTTCTGCTCCCCACTCTGGCTCTGGTGAATTCTCTCACACTCCCGTGCTTCTGACTGTACCCAGTGCTTGTATAAATGAATAAATCTTTAAAAAAAAAATAAATAAAAATAAATAAATAAAAGTATGAGATAAGCATTTTGATTATTTTGTCTAATGTAGGTGAGTAGGGTTTTATTGGAAATCAAACAGATTTCTCTGGAAAATATTTTCTGATGTTTTACATTAACAAATACATAGCATAGCCTTAACTTCATAAAAAGCATTAGCTATAAAGTAAAAACAAATGAAAGCCCTCAAAATGCTTAAGAAGAATTGAAGTAACATAACAGAGTCATTTTCTAATAAAGAACAAGACTTTATACATAACAGGCATTTAATAAATGTGAATTAGTATATTTTAACCACTTTCATAAGATTAATTTTGGGGATTTTTTTTCTACTTCAAATATGGATGGTGATGGGGGAAACCCTAAAAAGAGTAATACAATAATCATCCCTTATATGTGAATAACATTTAACTCCCAGTACTCTTGACATTCCAATTTTAACTTCCAAAAAGTTGAATTGTAAAAGGCATTTCTTTATGTTAATTTTAAATGAGTACAGTCATTGCAACAGCAAAACAAATGTGTCCACAGACTGTTCCTTTGCAGACTACCCTTTCTTCCTTCTCTTTCTCTCTTCAATTGTCTTTGTCTTCTAGATGCTGCCTTCAAAAGGTACATTCAGAAGATTGACTGCTATCATCCTTCCTCCTACTACCCTCTAAGAAGCAACTGTCTCTACAACCATAGAATTCTACATAGTTTTAATCAGGAGTTTTTATGTAGGCTAATCCCTGACATGTGTTTTGCACTAATTCTCAGATCTCTTACTAGACAATTGCCAATCATTATAATACTCCAACCTCCAAGCACATCAATTTCTGTCTCACAATTGCTATTCAGATTTGATAGCTTGTACTTAGCACATTCCTATGGTTTTTGTTTGTTTGTGTAGTTTTGTAACCCTTTTGAGGTCTTTAGTGATTTTGCTAACCTACATATTATTACTTTTCATCTCCATTAGATGCTAAGTTACTAGGAATGTATCTAAATAATGTGTGTGTCCTTACAACCTAGCAGAGTGTTCATGTAGAAATGAGCAATATGTGATTGTAGGGTGAATAAGTGATTATTTGACCCATATTTTCTGTAGTTTACCACCTCCTATTTAAAAAATAAGTGATATGCCCATTTCAGTTCTCATTTGACTTGAGCAAGCCCAATCTGTGGAGGGTCCTCTAAATTGGTCATGTATCGGACTTCTAAAATAAATGTACACACATCAGACTTGAAAAGCATCCAAACTGGCATGCCTAAAATATCTTTCTCCCATTTGCAGTGTTGTTTCATTAGGTTTCAAAAAATAGGCACATCCGAAGGTTGGCACACCCCATTGGGTTCAAAAAGTAGGCAACAAAAGTCATTTGATCAATAGTACTTTTCCAAAAATTGGTTTGCTTGCTTTTTCAACTTCTTATGTTTTCATTTCTCAGTTTTCTTTTGCCTTTCCTTCTTATCAGAGTATACTTCAAGAATTCTCACTGGCATATATGGGTAGAAATTATTGTATTTATCTAGAAGTAATTTTCTGGGTCACAGGATATACACACATTTAATCTCTAAAACAGTGCCAAATTATTTTCCAAACTATGATACTATTTCCTATCCAAAATACATGCATCCCTATTGTTTCATATCCCTAATAACATTAATTATTGTCTGACTTTTTAATTCTTGCCAATCTTTAGAGTTGAACGTAATATATCTGAAGAAGAGTTCAACTAGAACTTCAATGTCTAGCAAGGTGTAAGCTTTCTCTCATATGTTTATTAACCTCTGAATTTTCTCTTCTGTGAAATGACTATTCAGATAGGCTGTTTTTCCATGTCTCTATTGAGTTGTTTTCTTATAGATTTTCAGGAGTTTTGGTTACATAACCCATTTTGGTAAACCAAATGCATAATCAATCTGTCTCTCACCTTCTGTGTTGTTTACGTCTTCAATGAAAGTAGTTTTTAATC